CATACCTAAGATTCAAGCCAAGTTCAAACCGGAAGATGCGACAGCAAAGGCCGAAAGGATTGCAAAACTGGACAAGATCAGAAGTGTAGCAAAGAAGTCTTGGGAAGGATACAAGGCAAATGCCTGGTTACACGACGAGCTGCGGCCACAGTCCGGTACTTTTAGAGATCCCTTTGCCCACTGGGGTGCAACGTTGGTAGACGCCCTTGACACTTTGTGGATAATGGGCCTCAAGGACGAGTTCGAAGAGGCTGTAAAGGCAGTGGACAGCATCGATTTCACCACGACCCCGCGCGCTGATATCCCCTTGTTCGAAACAACTATTCGCTATCTTGGTGGGCTGCTGGCTGCCTACGATTTGAGCGACAAGAAGTATAAGAATTTGCTAGACAAGGCGGTAGAGCTCGCCGAAATTCTTATAAGCGCGTTTGACACACCCAACCGGATGCCTGAGACGTATTATTACTGGAGGCCCGATTTCGCGTCTCAACAGCACCGTGCTAGCGCACATGTTGTTCTGGCCGAGATAGGATCACTCTCTATGGAATTCACCCGACTCGCGCAGCTCACAAGAGAACACAAGTACTACGATGCCATTGCACGCATCACGGACAACCTGGAGGAATTTCAGGGAAAGACTCAACTCCCTGGAATGTGGCCAACATATCTGGACGCTTCCGGATGCGGAAGACAGTATATTGATATGCCTCCCCAGGCGCCTCTCAAAGCTCCAGCAGGTTATCTTGACGACCTGTCGTCAACTGTTGCTGAGCCTGCTACACCCTCCCCTACCGAGATGCTTTCTCCAGAAGGCAAGAAATACGTACCATTAGACTTGCCGGACCCTGTCGTGCTTGCGCAAGATGATGTGCCGGCTGACACAGCTGCCAAGGAAGACTCCGTGGTTCCCGGTACCGCTGGAAAGGCCAAGATCAAGGATTGGGACGGTAGTGCAGTGGAAAAGCGACAGCTCGATATCGATGAGTCTGAACCACCGAAAGCGGTGCTGGATGCTCAGGTCGCCTCTTCGACTTCGTCCGCCTCTTACGCTAAGCCGACGCCCCCAGAGTGCATACCCCAAGGTTTTGTATCAAGCTCCAGCTACGGACGCGAAGAGTTCACGCTAGGCGGTATGTCGGACTCTACGTACGAATATCTGCCCAAGCAGTACTTGCTTCTTGGTGGCCAGATTGAGAAGTACCGGACCATGTACGAACAGTCGATGGATGTCGTCAAGAAACATCTGATTTTCCGACCAATGCTACCAAAGGGGGAAGACATTCTCTTTTCTGGCAAGCTGAACGTCCCATCCAATATCGATGCTACCAAAGCGGGTGACCTAACTGCTGAAAACGCACATCTCACCTGTTTTGCTGGTGGTATGTTCGGCATGGGCGCAAAGCTATTCGACCGCCCTGAGGATCTCGAGATCGCAAAGAAGCTTACAGAGGGCTGCGTCTGGAGTTACAGCATGACTCCGACCGGCATCATGCCGGAATCGTTTGAGGTTGCTCCATGTGAAGACAGGAAAGACTGTACATGGAACCAAACAGCGTACTGGGAGTACATTGATCCACGATATGAGTCCCGAATGGAAACCTACAAGGAGCAGCGCAAAGTGTATGAGTCGCAGATTGCGTCCGCTTCATCATGGTATGAGGCGGAACTTGCTGCGATGACCGCACCGCCTACCCCTGTTGTAGCTGCTGCGGTTGAGGCCCAGGCCACGTCTTCATTGGTCTACGCAGATACGCTGGATAAGCGTCAAATTATCGAACACGTAGATGACGTAGAGATTGCACACATGTCATCCGTGATCGCGTCTGCGTCTGCATCTGCGAGCGCTTCGCAGGACCACGAGTCGGTCATGGGCGGCGAGTCCGAGGAAGGCGAGGGGCCACCCACCAAAGTTCAACCTGATTCGAACATTGCGGAGCTTGCGCCGCAGGCTAGTCTTACGCTGCCCAACTTCCCATACGTCTATTCGCCACAGCCAGTCATGAACCACGAAGATTATGTGCAGAACAGAATTCAAGAGGACCGTCTGCCACCGGGTGTCACAAGGATTGGGGCCAAGAACTACATTCTCCGGTGAGTCACTTACTTTCACGACAAGGTTTATCTAGTCGCTAACATCTGGATAGCCCCGAAGCCATAGAGTCCGTCTGGTACATGTACCGCATAACTGGCGATTCACACTGGCGCGATGCAGGATGGCGTATGTTCCTCGCCATCGACCAACATACAGCCACTGAGTTTGGTAACTCAGCCATCGACGACGTTACCAAACTGACGCCGGAGCTCAACGATGAGATGGAGAGTTTTTGGCTAGCGGAGACGCTGAAGTACTTCTACTTGTTGTTTGCGGAAGAGGATCTGATTAGCTTGGATGATTGGGTATTGAATACCGAGGCGCATCCTTTCAAGCGGCCGACATAGAAGACTTCAGTGAGCTTGGATTTCTGCTCAGGTTGTTGCGTGGAGTTTTTGGCGTGTTGGTGTATGGTATACCGACTGCATTGGATAGTCGTCATTTAGGTCTGACCTTAGGTGAAACATAATAGCCATTGCGTTGCTCCCCCCATGTAAGACCCCTAGGCACTACCGCCGTACCTGGTGACAAACCATGCACTACGCTTTCGCTATAACGGTTTTGTCTCGCCTGAAACTATCTTTGTATTGCCTCGCAAACGGCCATCAACAGTAATTTGCACCGTCTCATCCCTTTTCCAAAGTTCTTGGCCGTCTGTGTTGCTTTGATGAGATCCAGTAAGACGTACTCTGTACCAACGTTCGGCCGTGGTAGTGTATGTCTTTGAGTTGACCTTTCCCGTGTAAACGGTAACATAGACAATTTTCCTGCTACGAGCGGGTACCATGATGGAGTGGTCGATGCCTACAGTCAGTGTAGTTGTCTCACTCGTAGATTTGGACGTTTCGTGCTCGTCGTTGAAGTTGACTGCCACCTTCCATCCTACCGTGGCTTCAACAATACCAATACCTGCTTTGCCAGATACAGAGTACTCGGCTGTTATGCCAGTGGCGTATGCATCTCTCACTGTTGTGGTGATCTATGAAGAGGAAGCATAGAATCAGTTTACGTCTCATTGAGATTTCTTACACAAGGCTTACCTCGATCTTATGTTCTTTGGAGAATTTAATCGCCATTAAGGCTTCTTCATGGCCAGGGTTCTCCACCCATATTTCCTCATAGATTGATTGATCCACATCCTGGTCGGTCTTCGCAATCATTACAGGCTGAACGACCGAGCGTATCGGCTTGATGTTGCTCCATCTGAACGCTGTTATTCGGTCGTTGAAGCCAAAATCTTGTAGCTTCCGGACCTCTTGGGTTTCGCCGCCGCCCATGATCCTATTGAAGCTCTCGCCTCTGCCGTCTGGATTATCGAAGAGCTCAACAGACTCGCGATCCAGACTCTTCCATCGTAGGGATGTTGTTCTGTCGTTTATCCACCATCGATCTATGGTGTGGAGGGTTTCAGGGGCCCACTCGCTCAAGACTACAGCACATGGATGTGTTAGCTATCAAAAGCGGATCTGCTGCAATTGGAACTGACCTACATATGGTGACACGATTATTTGTGAAGTCTTGGTCGTCGAAAAGCTCGATTGCGCCTTGATTTAAGTCAACCGTGCGCCAAAAGAATTGCGATATCTTGTCATTCATCTGCAACCGATCCAGATCCACGCTTTCGGTTTGTCCGGTCCCAATGAGATCGAGCGTACGGCCGGCGTCAGAGAGGTCTGCGTACTTCCCCGAGGCCGGCACACTTGGGAGGTGGTCCATGAACGTCAGGACGGTCCCGACCGGCAAGTTGAATGCAATCCAACTAGCTTTGTCGAACAGATTTTGGTCTACCCGAAAGCGATGCTTCTGGGAGTACCCATTGTAAATGTTGATTTCGGTACTGTTGCTATTCCAGTTGAAGTCTTGATACAGGTGAACGCGGCCACTTGCAACGTCGGGAGCTCGCTGCGAAGGAGATGGGAGCCTGGTGAGTCTGTTCACCTTATCTTGTACGGACTGCATTCTGGAGACTAGTCGTAGAATATGGTAAAGAGACTGACTGGTGAATATGTGAAGATTCAGTTGAGAGAGACGGGTGTGATCGAAGAGATATGATGCCGAAATCTTGTCTTATTGTTAGTAGGGTGAGTCCAGAAGTTGGAATCAATGCATGCTACTCTTATACATATTCGTGCATTCTTGCCGCATACATGAATCTGAGCCAAGCGATTGGAATAGAAACTATACGATGTATCTCGATAGTGGCGCCCATCTTCAGCAACGCCATGAATAGCCGTCCCATGCTGCGTCAGAGAATCTCTTCCGTTCAGTATGTTGTTGTGTAAGTTCCTTGTCAATTACTACAAAGATCTAAGGGTGGCTTTACCCAAGGCAGCTGAGGAAAGGTCACTCTTGTCTAGTGTATGCTTGGCAGATGCTTCACGGTCAGCTGAAGAATCTAATTATATACAGAGTCATCAAGCCTCACATGTAGCGTTGTGCGGCTGATGGTAGTCTTTTGACAAGGTTGAAATCATGTGTGATGCAGCGGAGTTGTGTCCGCGAGGCTTATCGCATGCGGGGTCGCCGTCCTGAACGCACGATTGGATCGGCATACTGTCGAGGAATTGAAGGTACAGGTCCACTGACTTACTGTTGCGGAATGACTGTATGGATGCACCATCGCAATGTCACCTTAGGTGCACTTGTGTGGTAGTGTGTGAAGAAGACGATATCTCTCAGCCCTGTTTCTGGACCACTTCTTAGCGGTATACCAGACGCGCACTAAAAGGATAGAATTGGCGGTCAGCTAACCTTTCCCGAACCTGACGGATACTCCTAGTTGAATTGAGATGTTACATTCGACTGACCTCGACCTACTCTCACAACATATCTTGGGACACTGAAGCTATACTCACGCCTCTCATCTCCTTAACATTTTCGTTCTTTTGCGGAATTATCTCCAATGATCTTAGCGCTTCTCACCGATAGTGAGCTGAGAGTCGGGTATGTACTGAGAATCCTGAGCAACATCGTCGCCTGGCAGCTCAGCGGGTGGTATTTCCACGCTAGGCTTGACACCGATTTCCTGAGGTGCTATGTTCTTGGAATCCATCTCTTGCTTTCGATCTTCGTGTGGCAATTCAGTAATTGCACTTCCACCAACCTCTCGTCGCTCGTCGGAGGGTATCTCTGGCACTTGATTTTGTTTCTTCTTACGACGTAGAAGTAAAAAGATAGCGACAGCGATGAGAGCAAGTCCACACACGCCACCAACTACACCACCAGCTATAGCACCAGTGTTGTTCTTCTTGGGTCCGCTCACTGCACTAGAAGATGGGGTCGAAGATGGGGAGGACGATGATGTTGGAATCAGCGACGACGACGATATTTGATCAGGTGGGGTACAAGCATCGACGCTGTAATAGACGAAAGACGAGTTATAACACTCGGCTATCTGAGCGAACTGGAGGACTGTCGAAGAGCATGGTACGAATTCTTCGCTATCGGCCCCGTAGATGGTAGCTAATTAGTATTTTCAATAAGTGTAACTTTTCTATGAAGGTACAACGCAACGACTTACCACTGCAGCCTGGATCAAGACCTACGACCTGAAAGCTCCCGTATTTCCCCTGGTCGGCCAATCGAGTGCAAGTCCCATTAGGATACTAGTTGTTGGAGGGCGAAGTCAGTCTGTGTCTCGCATGCAGTTCGTATAGGTACACTTACGCCATTTTCTGCATTGATACTTTGGAACGCATTCTTGCACTGCCCGTCCGTAAACGTCGCGATTCTTGAGCTGGAAGCGACTTGAATAGGAACTATAATTGAGGCGAGGCTGAAAGCCATCCAAGAACCGATGCTAGAATACGGCATGATCTTGTGAAGTCTGAGGGCTTGCTGAATGTGAGTGCCGCTGATAGACGCGAGTCGAAAGGCGTTGCAGTAGGCGACTCAAGAGGTGGGCCGGGGCTTATTGCTCGTAAATGCGGCTCCACTGTCTAGTTAGGAAACTTGCTGCATCTTCACAAGACTGTGATGCAACAAGAAACGATCGCTGCAAAACAACAGGCCAGCCTGATCGGCCCCATCACCAATAGCCTATCGTAGGCCGTACACATACACATACGTAGGTGGTGCGTGAATACAGAAGCCGAAGTCGAGCCATTCCGAGCAATCTTGCGATGCAGGAACCGCTTTCGGTGTTTTGTGATACCAGAATGATGCGTCATCAGCGCCACAAGATGTCTACGCGTGCGTCGATTGGCTGCAGCGGCGGTCGACCCCGAGACGGGACGCTCCCGCCTCTTAGTATGTCTAGTCTTGCTCCACGGAAAAGGTTCGCATTAATTAATCGCACACCATCTGTTCAGCTTCGTCAGCTTCATGCATCATGAAGGCAAGCATATCGTGACAAAGCAAGCACTTTACATAAAAAGCTGTGGAATACGAAGAAAAGAGCCCCCTCCAGCTACGACGACCCACCAAAGCGTAGGCTACGTGTGGTGATCTTCTAATTGTAGATGATGCGGCCCCAGTCTATCCAGCGCCTCGTCCAGAAACGGGTTTGTGATCGTGAGAACTAGACGTGGACTAAATTGGAGTTCCGTAGCCTCTTCACGAAAGCCTTACCGCCTTGCTAGACACAGAGTATAAAAGATGACTGACCAGCTTGAGAAAGACTCCAGATCATAACAAAGCTCACAAAGATCACAAAGATCATTGTCTTTTTCCCAATCATCAAACATGCGCGCCTCAGTACTTGTCGCATTGTCTTCCTTCAGCCTTGCGGCTTTGGGCTGCACCAAAGTCTCCAAGGTCACCCACACCTTTTACGGGTACCCAGGTAGGTTGGCTGTATGAAATGCATATGAGACATAAATTGATTCTGTATGTTCAATCCTGCAGATAACGATCCTCCCGGTCCGGCCACCGCCTACGACTGCGGCCGCGGCTACAAGGCTGGCGGTACAGGTACCTATGCCGACCCTTTGACGTTTGCCTCGGCTCCTGGCGAATTCACACAATGTGAAATCATCTACGACCCATACACGAAGAAATATCTTCGTTTCGAGGACTACTGCGCTCAATGCACTACCGACTGGAACGCTGGCATCCACCACATTGACCTGTGGACCGGTAGCACAACTGTCAGCGGAGGTAACGAGCAGATTGAATGCGAGAATGACCTCACGCCGGGTGAGAAGAGCCAGACTATCGTGAGGCAGCCACGAAAGGATCTCCCGGTAGATTGTAAGTAACAAGGCTGAAAATCACATGAAGACGATCTGACATACAATCAGCGACTAAGCTTTACGTCAAAGGTGCCAGTCCGGCGTGCAGAACTAGCCACATATACCCCACTTACAACATTGCCGATTACTGCTAAATACGTAGTGATTGAATGCAACATTGATAATGGCAGATAAACATGGCGGGAGTCCGGTCGATCTCAGATATTGTACAGTCTTTTCCGTAGAACAGTGTTCTTAGAAGCAATACCAAGCTTGCCTGTAAAGCAGTATGATTCTCTTGGCCATAAGGCTTAGCGAATGAGCCTGTCATCTTCGTGTCAATTCTCCCTATCGTGTGTGACAGGGGCGTGCAGGACAGGGGCGTGCAGCGTTGAGCTCCCTGGGTTTACCGAGGCATTTCGATGTGTAGCTACTGGCCTCCGCTTGCTTCGCCTTGCTAGGTTTGATGTAGCTTGTCCATAGTAGGGTACGCGGACTCGATGTTCTAAGCATTAGCCAACAGAGCATGCCAGGCTGACCCTGCTCTCCTGAACATACCGCAATGCGCCCTTCTTCGTGTGGCCTGCTGTTTGATCGAGAACTGTAGAGCGCTTTATGTTCAGCCTCGCCCGGAGTCCAGTCGGAGAGTATTACTCCGAAGCTGACGCGCTACTCAGCCAGCACAATCTGCGTCGCAATATGTGCCTAATCTGTTCGCTGTCCATAAGAAGGGATCTTATTCTCCGTTCTAGGGTATTGTGGATGTTTAGTCCACAGTGTTGGTGGTGGAGGGGTGGTTGTGCGCCGAGGTGAACCGCATCCTCTCCGCGATGACGTCAAACATCGTCAACCTCTGTGCACGTCCTTTCCACGGGACTGACAGGAAGTATGGGCATGGGACGTCCAGTGCCTTTGGCTCTGATTGCAGCCAGAAATGGAAAGTACAGGTCTCGCTTCGCCAGCGAGCGCAAACGTATGCGCAGACTCGACAGATGGAGGACTGTCACAGCGCTGGGTGCCATCCATCTATCGCCCCGGAGCAGGTCCGCCCATCGATCTTTTGGCTTCTGGTCGATCACACCTCAGTGCGGTGAGAGAAACTCTGCAGTCGCTCAACAGCTACAATGAGCGCATTGTACGCCAACCCTACGATTTCAATGCCTGGTTACGCCGAGGAAACTGCATGATGATCCTTGGGTTTCCCGAACTTGCTGTCGCTGACGCGTATAAAGCCAAGGTTCTTGAGGAAAGAACTCCTGGAAACGACCAAGAAAGGGCGCAGATTTACAATTTGCTTGAAGCTGCTTTGCAAGCTTGTCATTGCCAATGGGATGCAGCAGGAATTCTAGACGAATCAGCAATCGATGCAAATCCGCGGCGGCGGGAAGAAACCCGAAAGAGACTTGCTAAATTACGTGAGCTCTTACAGCGGAAAGAAGAGGCTGCTATACTATTGGGTGGTACATCTTTCGAGCTCAGAGATAGGATAAGAGATGGTGGAGTACTCGCTGTAGAGTATCCATGGACCATTGAACGCCATCTCAGAAGGGCTCCAGAACTCGTGAAGCTCGTTAATCAGGAGCTTGGAGGGGGCGAAACAGAGGCAACGTGCTATCTGGGCCAAAGTAGCTTGGCCAAGGACTCGAATGAAGACATGCTAGGCATGTTCGCAGCTCGCGAGGTACAAGCTGGCGAATGTATACTTACAGATCGAACCGCTACCGGTATATGTAGTACACCATCCTCGGACTCCTGCTGTAATTGCTACGCGCGCTTACCGGAAAATCCAACAAAGGCAGAATGCTGCGCTGAAAGCTACTGCTCAGCAGCATGCCTCAATCTCGCAATGAACACTTATCACAAAGTCATCTGCGGTAAAGACTTTACGTGGCTCCAGAAACCCGCCAAGGGCTTGACGCACAACGCTTCGCCTCTACGATCCCTTCTCATGTTGCGACTACTGGCGACATGCGTCCAGTCTGGTATTGATCATTCACCACTAGATCACCCGCTGATTGCGCGTCTGAAGCCTCTTGCCAACAAAGAGCATCTCGATGTGTTCACTCTCAATGAGTCAGTCATTGTTCCGATCAAGATCCTAGAACAACTTGGCATCGATATCTTCACAAATCGTAACTTCGATACGGACATCTTACACTCGATCTGGACTCGTCTAGCGAACAATAAAGCTGGGTCTCCCGACCCGCGACTTGGCTTTGTCGACGAAATCACGCCGCATCTACCACTATTCAACCACAGCTGCGAACCGAATGTAGAGTGGAGAAGGGAGAACGGAAGTACAACTGTGAGCTTCTTTGCCATCAAGCCTATTGCAAAGGGTGAGGAACTGTTCTGTAGCTACCTGAATGTTCAACGCATTCCGATGGAGCAAAGGCAGGAGATGTTGTGGCCGTGGTTTGAGGGCTCGTGTTTATGCTCGAGATGTGAAAAGGAGGGAAATAGTTTACGCATCTAGTTTGTGGTATCATTAACTTCTCTGGAGACATTCATAACGTCGTAGGCAAGTTAAGTTCCAAAAGGGAAGATAATCTGTCCATCTACTACAAGCCTCAATATATCTTCTGTTGGGAGACATGCTTCTTCTCAGGTGTCAACACAGCATGACATCTGCCACTCCTTGGTGCTTGTGTCCCTTCTGTCAGCACCAAACGAAATTCTTCGCATCCCCGCGCTTTAAGGCTTCGATGCTAGGTGGCACGGTTGGTTGCCTTATCGGGTGCACCCTGTCATCTCCCTCCTTCTTTGCAGCGCTCAATCCTTTATCCTTCAACACACTCTTACTGTACTTGGTGTCCGAAACCTTCTGTTTGACCTCCTCCGGCTTCGATTTCACATCTCTAGCCTTTGGCAGCTTCACCACAAATATATCAGATTCACGCTCGTCCATTTGTTGAACATCACGCAGCGTCCTGATAAGCTTGTCCCCGTTGCCCGTCTCGGTGTGGTATGTGTAGGCAAATGCAAAGTCTTCCTCCTTGAGGAGTGATACTGTATTACCAGGCGAGAGTGCTACAGTAGCCTTTTGCGTCAGCGCTGCAAGTGCCCTATCTTCGATGGCGGTGTCCTGGAACGTATTGGCCGTGGCAGCTAGCTTGATGATGTCTATCCAGGACAACTCAATGGCCATTGCATCAGCGGATATAGACTGGGAATTGAGGTACAATTTTACCATCGATGGGTCGATGAAGGAGAGATGTATGGTGCGGCGTAATGGCGCGTGCATTTTGAGTTTATTCAAAAGTTTAGAAAACTTAGGTATGTCGACGAGGAGGATCTGATGGCGCGTCTCTTGATGAGGTCCGAGGAGAAGTGTGACGCGGTCGTAGTAAGAGACACCAGCTTCGTGTGGGTTGACAATCTCCCAGACTTCGTCGTCAATTTGGCTGGGGATGACATTGCCGCTTGTATGTGGCGGAGAGTTTGTGCGGATAGGTGCTGTACTCGTGAAACCTTGGAGCATGTTAGTAAAGAAAGACATGGTTGAGCTATGATGTCTTCAAAACTTGGTCGAGGATTGGTATTCAAGGTGCGGTTGAAGTGTTAAATGAGGACGGTCAGTGAAGCTGATGTATGGAAGAGGAACGTGAAGGCGGTGTGCAATTGGTGAAAGTGTAAAGTGTATACGGGAGGTAGCGCCTCACAGGGCGTGAGGTACTGCGCGATGGAGCGCGCTAGGGTGTCACTGTGAGTTGTCGTGAAACTAAGAATTGCAACGTCTACAAGCCGTACTTTAAACTAGACCCTATTACAGTGTGTGACATAGTCAGCAGGGTCGAAAACATTGTGACTAGGTGGATGCAAAAGCAGTGGCCCTATCAGAACCAGAGTTCCGTTGTTCTGGAGTCTAGAGAGCGTGGTCTGCGTCATAGTTTCAAACACAAAGAAGGATTCCATTTGGAGACAGCAGTTCTTTAGGCATTGACACTATGAGCCTGGTCTTGCCAACGACCTCTGAATTTGTATATACACGTACAAAGTGGTATGCCACTCTATTTCGTCTCGTGCTCGGGGGTGATTGCGAATGTAGGTCGAACGAATCTATCATCAGATGATTAGCCAATGTACCGTGAGAAACCATGTATTCAAGCACGTACCTGTCGCTGTTGTAGACCTTGGTCTCTGTGCCAAGTAGCTCCTTCTCCCTCGCCTTGTCCGCCAAATGTCTTCGTACTTGGTCCCGGTCTTCTTCGGCCTGCAGTGCTGGGATGAGGTGTATCCGCGCCCACATCTTCTCGCGCGCGAGTTCGCTGTGATCTGTCAGCACTCCCCCTCATATTACAGGACGTCGCCGTGTCCAGTTTCGAGCATGCGCGTACTTGTGCTCCCTGATTCCCTGTCCAACCCTCCAGAATCCGTATGTCATGAGCGCCGCGGTTCCGAAAAGGTATGCGGCGGGGCGGAAGCCTCGTACGGGCAAGTTGCGCTTGTATTGTACGGGGCTGTAGCCGCCCGTTGGCGGCATATCCTGCGGCATGTTGGGCGATTTGTTCGTGGCTCAATTGGGGTTCCAAGGTGTCGTCAATGCGGAGACGTGAAGTGAGGTTCGAGCTCGGGAAGCCGCGATGACAGGGATCTGGCTTGGCACGCTAAGGAGTGAGTGAGCATAATTTTGTCGATGCTGAGTGGACAAAAGGCATCACGACCTAATTTCTCTAATCGATGGACGACCACGAAATAATGGGTTCTGAAGAGCGTCCTGCGAAGATGCGCAAGCTGGAACATGCGGATGGTGATGTGGACGTGGCGGACGCAGCTGCCATACCAACACCAAACGAACAACTACCCGTGGCTGCGGAGAATAGCAATCAAGCTGGTTCTACTGAGACTACCGGGACACCAGCTGAAGCTGAAGGCGCAGAGCCAAAGTTGTCAAAGAACCAGCTCAAAAAGCAAAGACGGCTCGAGCGTTGGGAATCTGGACGCGAAGATCGCAAATTGAAGCGAAAAGAAAAAGTCAAAGAGAAGAAGGAGCGACGACGAGAAGAGTGGGCGAAGATGCCTACAGATGAGAATGGCAAGAGACCGAGACCACCACCTTCACGTCCTCCCAGACAAGCAACTGGAAAACAAGTACCCATCACAGTAATCTTCGACTGCGATTTCGAGGAGCTGATGTTCGACAACGAGCTCAAGAGCTTAGGACTTCAAATCACGAGGTGTTACAGCGATAACCGAAAGGCAAACTTTAGAGCTCACCTAGCACTGAGCAGCTTTGGAGGCAAAATGAAGGAGCGGTTCGATGGAATCTTGGCGAAACAGTACACGAGTTGGAAAGGCTTCCAGTTCTTCGAGGAAGATTTTGTGGAAGTCTCTGAGAAGGCCAAGGAGTGGATGTCAGGACCAGAGGGTGGAAAAGTTCTTGGTGCGTTGAAGACGTCAGCAGAATCCAACAGTTTGAGTGAGCAGGAACAAGCAGAGGCTGCAGAGGAGGAAGGCGAAGTTGTCTATCTTTCATCCGAGTCCGACAATGTTCTTACGCACCTGAAGCCCAACAGCACCTACATAATTGGTGGTTTAGTAGACAAAAACCGGCACAAGGGCATCTGTCACAAGCGCGCTGTGGAGCGTGGGATCAAGACAGCAAAATTACCCATTGGCGAATACCTGGAGATGAAGAGTCGGCAAGTCCTAGTCACGAACCATGTGCTAGAGATTATGCTCAAGTGGATGGAATTTGGAGACTGGGGCAAGGCTTTCATGGCAGTTATGCCAGAAAGAAAGGGTGCTAAGCTCAAGGGTGATGCAGAAGATGGAGATGATGAGGCGGCGGCTGCAGAAGACGAAAAGAATTTGGATAGGGATCTTGCGGCGGCAACAGAAGAAGCGGATGCTGCGACTCCCGAGCGGACCACAGAGAATGTCTAGAGTACATAGACAACTCACAAGCTGTACTCGTGACAGAGAATAGCAGAGTGTAAAGACTAGTAAAGAACAAGTAGAGATGCATAGCTTCTTAAATCAATGTACACTACGAGATGCAGAACGCGATGCCTGCACATAACGATGGGTTAAGTATGACAATGCCCGCGATCGCACCAAGCATGCCTATTCATCTCCTCGAACTCGATAGAGCCCAGTAAGCTGACTATGGGAATCCTCTGAAATGCACAATGGATACGCGAGGTCAGCCCTATCGGGTAGCGGAGATCAAGCTTTCTAGGGAGGCGCTAGCATGCTAGCGGTCAGGGCTGCGGAGCTACACGTCGAGGAGCCAGAGGGGTGAAGCAATCACTAAGCATACATCGTCGTCCTGCCTTCTATTGGCGGCTATTCATTATAGCGACTGAAAATGCATCCGTCGCATTCACAAGCTTGCTTATGTAACAGCCATGTCTCCTGCTGCTGGCGCTGTGAGGCTCCAAGCAGCTGTCAGCCCACTAATTTTGCGCAACGTCACAGCTACTCTGACTTGCGACAGCCCCAGCACACCACCTCCAACACGCGACCCACATTAATTCAGGAACATCGCTACGATTGTAATTAGTTGCCGCTCATGTCGTACCCATCAGATACCCCGTCTTCTCCACCAGTCCGCTCTCCGTCGTCACAAACCTCACCGCCGCCCCAGCGCTCTACCCCCAATCGCTCGTCTTCCTACTTCACATATCCCGTATCCTATGCAGTCTCGGGCATCCTGCGACGACTGAACACGGAAACGAGTCCTAAATCAGACGCGCAATCACGATCGGGGTCCAACAGTAATCGCAACAGCATAGGCAACGTGCAATCGCAGTTGCAGTCCACCGCATCTTCCCTCTCCAACACGTTTGCGAGTCTCGTCTCCTCCACTACCTCAGATATGAACGCCGTCTTCCAACCACCACACCGGATAGCCAGTCCTTTCCAACCACCGCCGTTGACACCGCTGAGCCTAAAAGGATGGGGAGGTGGCATGCGAGAAAAGGGCAAGCTCCTGAGCACGGCGCTGGCAGAAGAGATCAGGCTCCTGCTACCTCCAAGGCTACAGCTGGTGGACGAGTGGAAGTTGGCATACAGTCTGGAACAGAATGGTGTCAGCTTAGGGACGCTATATAAGCAGTCTGAGGATTATTGGGGAAAGAGAGGCGGCTTCGTGCTTGTGGTCAAGGACGGCAGTGGAGGTGTAAGTTCCCAAATATCATCACAAATACAGAACGCGTGCTCACGTCTGGCGACAGATCTTCGGCGCATACCTCTCAGACGCCCCACGTCCCTCTACGTCATTCTACGGCAACGGTGAATGCTTCCTGTGGCGCGCGCACATACTCCATGGTTTCTCTGACCTGCAGATGAACCTCCCACCCCCACCGTCTGAAGACACAACAGACGCTGTGCGAATGACTACCATATCCTCGCCGAAGAGAAAGGGCGATTCGTTAGCGCCGCCACAGAATGGTCGGGCCACTAAGAGCGGTGCGAGCACGCCAGAAAGGATAAGATTCAAGGCATTCCCATATAGTGGGGTGAATGACTACATGATCTTCTGCGAACACAGCTATCTGAGTGTTGGTGGCGGGTAAGTAGACGTGACCAATACTCCAGGATTCACACGACTAACAGCATCACAGGGACGGTCATTACGGTCTATGGCTAGACGACAACCTCGAGAATGGCGTCTCGGACACCTGCCCTACGTTTGGCAACGAGCCATTGAGCGACGATGGCAAGAAATTCGAGGTCATGGGTGTTGAGTTGTGGTATGTCGGCGTATAAGAAATATTTCCTGGCAACACCCTCTGCGAACGCGGGGTCCGTTGTGTTGAGCACTGGCCACGCAGTGGTATCGCCTAAAGGTAAAGTGTTAGGCTACGTAACTTAGAACAGATACCATACCTGTAGTCGAAAACTGGCTAAGGTAAAAGAGCAAAATATACCCATTTGGTTGTTTCGTACACGCTCTTATCCCTCATCTGGCATTTCCTAAGACCATGTCTTTCTGGGTCTCACCTTGTCTCACTATCCACCGCCTCTAGATCACAAACATCTGGCCTAAGTCTCACCTTCCAGTGTCTTATCTACTTCTCCTAGGGCTATATATTCTACTCCCTTCAATCCATAGCACTCTCAATACCCAACATCATCATCTGTCAGCATGGCGACCACTGAATCTCAAGGAGCGACTAAGAAGCTGGGACCAGTAAAGTATGCCGCTCAACCCTTCACACAGGCAAGTGTAATATGTTAACGTAGTGCATCATAGGCAACAGGATCGTCCGCTTCAAGATATCTAACCTGGACCGCCGTTTCACCGTGCATGAAGGTATCAACTACCCATATCTGTTTTGGCAGACGTCTATACTGACACTGTGCGTACTTTCTAGATCTCATATGTAGCACCTCTCGATTCTTTAAAGACTGCCTCCAGAAACATCGGAAGCCCATCGCCAGCAGTGGTGAGTGTTGTGTCTAGCACGAGACCTTGGACGCTACGGTAAAAGATACATCTTTCTGCATCGAGTGCGGACAAAACGTCCACGAAGTCTGCATCGAAACTTGGAAACGCAAATCCACTACCGGCGTTAACAAAGATTCTGCACCCACATGCCCGATGTGTCGAGCTAGCTGGAAGAACGATCCGCTGCTCAATCATTTAGACCTGAAGGACCCCTGGAGAAGATGGTCTATGCCGAGAAGCGTGTCAGTGTTCGAAAGAAGATTGCTATCAAGTAGGTCCTCTGGAATTAACAGCATACCAATCGCTAAACGCTTCTCAGATATGGTCGCAAAATTGTGCGCATCGAGGTTGCAGATCACGAAGAGTTCACCATTCCTGAAGACCTCCTTTGCAAAGATCTAAACTCTTCCAAAAGAACCTTCAGCCGAAGCGCAAACCTTTCGGTGTGGACACAGAACGTCCCGTCTGCAAGGCAAAGCTTGAATCCGGTATCAACGAGCTCACCTTCTGAGCTAATGGTTGCGGTCATAATTTTCACTACAAATGTACGAAGCAGTGGAACACGGAGAAGCGTGAAACCAACCAACCAGTCGACTGCCCGTTCTGTCGCCAAGGCTGGCCCGGCGATAGCAAGGAAATCGCAGTACATCAACACCATGATATCAGCCCTGGACCATTCTCGATATTTATCGAATGTTTGTATCATGGTCATATTGCTGTCAAAGACCTTTCCGACAACTCTGATGACGAAGGGATAGACAAGACACCCGAACCCGACTTACACGAGTTGATCGAAGCACATGTGCTAGGTCTCAAGCTCAAAAGCAGCATGTTTTATCGAGGTGTCCTAGAGGCGTTGCTAGAGAGTACTGAGGAAACTCGTATCTATCCCGACAAATCCGACGTCCGTCTTGTCTACGATAACACGACTAAAGGGGCAATCATAAGGCTCGTGTTGGTACGAATGTACGCTCAAGCAGCACAAGGTCACTGGTTGAGGGATGAGGAGAGCATTGGATATTCTAGAAGGTTCCTTCGGGACTTGACAATAGCTCTGCTCGAGAAGGGTCCTTGGGAAAGACGCTGGGACCTTGCTGAAATGAGAGACAAATATGTCATAGGGAAGATGATTGGGTATGGAAGAAAGGACGGCGCCGAACCGGAAGAGATGAACAATTTATCAGAGGAACTGAGTTCAGAGTCGGAATCAGGTGAAGACGAAGAAATGCTGAGTTAATATTTCCCTATAGTAATAGGCTAGCAAGAGAAGGGAATGTTAAATACACTTCTTGATATGCAATACCCAATGCTACATAATACAACTGCGAAGTAAGAGTTTTCAGCACAGCATCAGACCGACGTTTATCCTCGAGAACTTTGTATTACACAGTACCCTTCCAACTCCGAAGTCGAGATGTGGCAAAACATCCAATAGCTACAACAAGATAGCCAAGTTCAAAGATCACCTAAAACACGGCCGAGTAGATGAATGTCTTGTCGTCCCAGAACTTGCGCGACAAGATGTGGTGCGCAGCCTGCAAAGCCAAAAGATCCCTCATAAACAGATCCTCATCTGTAGTCTTGCCATTGATATCTCCAGGACCAATGTCAACTGTCCTTCCCGCCCAAACGTCTTCCCAGCTTGGACGAAAATAATCGTTGTACGTAGCGTCTGTGATTGTCCAGGCGCCATCTGAGGCGATGGAGTAGCGTATAAGATTTTGAAATTCAAGTGCTGGTGAGGCTGAGGTCTTGTGTTTGGAATACTGGCCAACCTAAGCGCTTTGTGTTAGTGATATGTATATTCACATGCCTCTTGATTTGACGTGGCTTACTAGTACCTTGTCACCTCTTCTCATGATGACGAGACAGTCATCACTATTATTGCTCTTGGGTATGTATCCCATATGGAATGCTTTTGTGTTAGCGAGGAACATATCGAGGGCCATGGACGATGTTTGATGGAGTAATGTGACGACAGCGTCTTGTAGCATAATATTCTTGGGAATTTTCTCGATGGCCAAGTTGATCATATGAGCATGATTGCGTGGGGCAGTCGGAGGGAGCGCAGCGACACTGTCAGTAAATTGGATTGGGTAAGCTCTGTCCATCGTACTTGGATTGGCCGTTGAAAGTCTGTTCAAGAACTGAACGTACCTATATGCATGAGACACTTCATTTGCTTGCTATTAGGCGAATGATATCGACACTGTGCTTGCTACAGCACGTGAATGCTCACAGGGTTTCTAGGGATGACTTACCATCATCGTACAGGCGGCATTTCAAACCAGCTGTCGCTCATCATCTAGCGCAGCATCAGAACCTTGTCGACTAGATGCCAAACCTTGACACAGTCCCATTCACTCTTGTCATCAGTCCGAAAACATGCTTGATATCAACAGATGCCATATAGAATACGCATTGATAACAGGGCCATGACGCTACAACTGTCGTTCGCTCCTCATCTTTCATTCGAGTGGGGGAGGACTGTACTGAATGCATTGGCGTACTGGAAGACTGGAAACAGAGGACTGTTAAGATAGCTGTTGGCTGTCGGATGTTCCAAAGAATCTTGGAAGCCACTGTGAGCTTGAAGGTTACTAGTGAGGGCGATAAAAGCGTATTGGCGGTAAAGACTCGTTCAACGTTATCTGCATCAATTTGAGGGCCGTATTTATACACCATTAGCAGCAATCGCCTAGCGTTATCGAAAGAACCTCGCAGGCTGTTGTATTCTGTAGCTTTCTCTCGCCTATAGTAGCAGCTGGTTTTGGGCTAATCTTGGGCCAACTCTCATTAATTGAAACGGCGATGGATCTACGAATTTTCCAGGTTTGTGAGTAGCTAATAATATAACCGAGTGGTAGGGCGACAGCGCCTACTCTACCTAGGTATGCAATGCTGACTGTATCGTTATGGTAGTGCACCAATGAGCGTGCGTGCAAGCAGCCCCCAAGTGCTAAACTCCAGCCGCGCAGGGTAGACGTGTAACGTACGGCCTCCAACTGTAGGTATATACGTTTAGGTGCAAAACCCCCAGTATGATAGCGCCGTCGTCAACATAGGCCTTCGGTGCCTGGCAACCTTCGAATCACACTTCGTGACTCCCATCGCAGCTAGATATATCAGCATGATTCCGGTAACGCATCATAACGCCAGCCAATCTGGCGTAATCGTGATGTATCCGGAGCACAAAGGACAAGCAGTATATATCTTCTCAGTAGTCTCAGCCTGCACCACGTTTCTAGTCCTCCTCCTACGCTTCTGGTCGCGCTCCCTCCATGCCAGCAGATTCCGGAGCGACGACTGAACGGCAGCAGCAGCATGGGTATTCCCCCAACATCTCCTTCACTTCTTCCTTGCGCGCTAAGTCACCCAGCCATTCGTCCTAGCGATCTCAGTCCAAACGGGCCTCCTCCTTCATCACGGTTTCGGCCTCCACATAACCTCCGTGCCTCCCGCCAATATGACCTTCAGTTTGCAAGTCCTGTATGCCGGATACTTAACCTACGCCGCCGCCATGGCATTGACCCGCATCAGTGTCGGACTCTTCTACCACCGCCTCTTTAGCATCGCATGCCCAAATTTCAGGTACCAAGTCCATGCCAACACGTTACTCAATGTCATTTGGCTTGTGGGCCTCAATCTGGCGGCCGCATTCGAATGTGCACCCATCTCTGCTTTTTGGGATAAGGGAATAGAAGGAGCGAAGTGCATGCCAACACTCAACATTCAACTGGGATCCGTGGTGCCCAGTGTAGTGCTGGATCTAATCGCGTTAATTATGCCGCTGCCGATAATCTGGAAACTACATTTGAGTATGCAGAGAAAAGTAATGCTGCTAGGCACTTTTGTGCTAGGGTATAGTGTCATTTTTCTGAGCGTGGGGAGGCTGATTACCGTTGCGAAGATTGAGCGGGGGTTGGAGAGTGATTTGACGTGTAAGTACTGTCTTTGGCTTGAAAAGAAGAGAGAAAGACTAATGAATGCGATAGGGTACTTTATTGATGTCCTCATCTGGCTTCATGTTGAGATGAGCGTTGCGTCGATTTGCATAAGCCTGCCGAGTTGCTTCTCGATGGTTAGACGGGCGAGAGAGGGTGGTGTTGGGGCGTTGATCTCCTCAAGGCCGCTACCACAGAAGTACCGGAAGCAGGATGCAGATTTGGCTGGAGGAATGGCGCCAGCAGCTGATCGCGATGCAGTATAGCAGAAATCTTCTGAGTATAATTCAAGCTAGTTGTTAATTGTCTTGGTGGGAGGAAATATGTCCACTCTATCGCTTCCTTCTGCCACAGCTCGCGGATAACCACAACTTTCGCATTAGATGTCTGTGTCATGCACGAAGAGTGATCATGTGAGTCTCGACGCGTGGGACGAGGAGCGCGACTTTAGCGTCTTGGCGCGTAACGCACCTGGTGCGCACTCGAGGCGTGCTCTTCACAACTCAGCATCAAAGATGGACAACACTCTCAAATGGGGACATCAGCGGTTCGTGCGTATGCGCAACCTCAAAAACCCTAATCAATTTTATCTACAGTGAAATCTGATAAACAGCAAGCGGACGTCTATTCGGCCCAGACAACAGCGCTGAGGCCGTCCTCGTTCTCCGGAATGCCTGCAGCGCCAATCCGAAGATCCGCAACGCGCTCTCCCAATTTACCAGTCTTTGGATCTCTGGGTACGATAGCTACGTTCGAAGTGGTCTGATCGCCAATGGCTACGAAATCACCAGCCTTGTTGATGTCAAAAGTACGCGGGTACGTGCCATAAGACGAAGTGTTGGCTGTCCATGTGAGGGATCCGTTGGGGGAGATGGTGTATTGGGTAAGCGAGTCGTTACCGTTGAACTTCTTGTCGTTTCGGTTTGTGATGTAGACGAAGTTACCCTTGACCTTGACCTCACCGACCTTGGTACCGCGAACGGCGGTGGCGTTGCCTTGGTACGGCGTCAGGGTTTGCTTCAGAGTCAGAGACATGCAGTCTCCTGATGAAGGGTATGACACCGCCCACGATGACACGCTATTGGAAAGCTCATTGGCGATGAAGAGAGTGGTGCCTTCAGCTGCTCGACGAACGCGCGAGTTAGCTGCCGATGGTGTCCAGAAGGCACCGTGTCGTGGTCCTGTGCCAGGAGGCGGCTTCGCAGAAGCGCACTCTGTAAGCTTTCCAGAGGTCTGGTCGATCTTGTGGATCCGAATCTGATCAGTTCCAAGGTCAGGTACTACCAGGAAGTCGCCAGATGGGTCTACAAAGGCATGGTGCGGGTGGGGAGCTTCTTGTCGAGAAGGGTTTACGCCTTTGCCGGTGTACTTGATTGTTTGGAGCGGTTGTCCTCCGGTCAAAGGCAATTTGAAGGTTGTCAATTGTGAAGATTGGCTGTCGATCAATCAGCACCAATGGTGTCTATCGGAACATGCTGACTTACTAGTGAGCGTTTGCAATGAAGCTCTTTCCATCCGCACCGCCATATAGCGCTGTCGCAACAACACCGAGAGGTGTAGAACCCTTGCCTCCTGCAGTCACAGTGCCGTTGTTACCAACGGCGAAAGAGACCAAGTTTCCACCGCTCGCCCCATAGAAGACCTCGTCCGGAATGTACAGCGCTTTCCCGGCATTGTCATACGTAATCCAACTAGGCAAGTTGTTTCCTGTGGGGCTCGATTTGCTTAGAGTCAAGGCATTGTTTTCGAACGACAGATAGTTGATCGTGCCCGAGTAGTGAGTCGCCCACAGGTTCGCCGCACTTGCGGCACTACCGAACAGCGGTAGAAGGAGAGAATGTGAAGTGAGCATGGCGGGTCTGAGTGACGAGTCAGGATTGTTCTGTTGGTACACCTCAAATACAAGGACGTGGCATCGTTTTGTACGTTCGTCTTGTGCTCATGGACATTTCCACTATTTTGCCTTAATGTCACGCGCACGCGATCTACATTTCGGAGGCTACCACGATGAAACACCTGACTACACCCTCTTGGACTAAACAACCGCCCTCGTCATGCGTTTCGCTGAAAGCGCAGGCTGGCATTTCAGCCTCGGTGTGTATGTTTTTCCAAGCCGGTTAAAGGGTACACGTCGGACAATATATCGCAATATGGAGCCATGTTTCGAGCAGGGGTATGACGTTTCACCCGGTTGCCGACCCCAGCTTGATCAACATGGAGAAATTACAGAGGCCTTGCATTTCGGTCTTTCATCTCGCACACACACATGTTAAGATCTCTTGGCCTGCCGTCTACCGGGAACGTAACTGCCACGCCGCTGACATGCGTCGGTACATGGACGCGGCTACGTCGCAGCAGCACACGTGCCTGGATATAGACGAGGAGGCATCTCTTAATCTTTCTGCGACCAATGTTTGCCAAGAGCGAAATAAAACTGAAGCCACGGTTCCTCACATTTGCCGTAGCTCATAGTCCTTTTTGCGATACAGGCAAGATCTGTTATTACAAGCATCGACAGGAACACGGCATCTCCACGATGCCAATGAAGGATCCAACAGAAGTACAAGGTTTTCGCTGGGCAGGTCCAGTCCTTTCATCGCAGTGATAACTCCTGGTCTCATGTTTTTCTTTCTCTTCAGCCGTAGTGTATTGGGCCAATATGTTCTCTCGTCATCACCAGAATCCACCTCTAGGATTCAAGCAATGCTTAAGTAGCGCGAGTATGTTGGCGGATGAATTTGTCCTAGGCAGCCAAGCCATCTTCTTATCTTCAAGATGATGACGCACTACTACACATGGCTTCTTGCGGCCGCTACTCTCTTTTCTTGTACCACTGCCGCAAATGCGACACTGAACGAATGTCTTGAGTCCCGCCAGGTTCCTGTATATGCCGCAGGCACCAAGAACTATACTCAAGCCGTGAAGCCTTTCAACCTTCGTTTACCTTTCGTACCCGCCTCCTACGCTGTACCGCAAACCGTCAAGCAAGTCCAGGACGCTGTATCTTGCGGTGTCGCGAGCAGCGTCAAAGTCACTGCAAAATGTGGAGGCCACAGCTACGGAGCACATGGTCTTGGAGGGGAGAATGGTCATTTGATAGTCGATATGCGACGCTTCAACAGCGTAACGGTTGATCAAGCAGCACACACAGCTGTTGTAGGAGCTGGTGGTAGACTGGGAAACATTGCTCTAGCACTGTACGATCAAGGCAAACAAGCCATCAGTCATGGAACATGTCCTGGGTAGGCCCTCATATCCTTTGATACGACAGTGTCGTTGACTGACAACTTTCAGCGTCGGTGTAGGAGGGCTAACACTTCACGGTGGCTATGGTCTATCATCGCGCCTACACGGCTTAACCCTCGATCAGCTCGTCTCAGCCACTGTTGTCCTCTCCAACAGCAGTGTAGTAACCGCCTCACCATCATCCAACCCCGACCTCTTCTGGGCCCTCCGAGGCGCCGGTGCTGCCTTCGGCATCGTCACTGATTTCAAATTCAAGACCTTCAACGCCCCAGAGAGCAATCTCGTCTTCTCCTACAGTCTCTCCCCAAGTAACACTTCCCAACTAGCCAACATCCTCACTGTCCTCCAGGATTTCACCATGCACAACCAACCCGCCGAGCTCAACATGCGCATGTTTCTCCCCAACCAGTTGACCGGTGTGTACTACGGCAACCGCACATCTTTCGACACCATCATGAACCCACTGCTCACCAAGCTCAACATCCCGCTTTCCGGGCGTGGCGCAGGCACGGTATCAACAAAGAAATGGATCGACACCCTAACATCCTTCTCCAACGGCCCATTGCCCCAACCAGAAATCTACGATTACCACGAGAACTTTTACGCCAAGTCACTCATGCCCGAGGAACTATCTCCTGCTGCCATGACGGCGCTGGCAGACTACTATTTCACGACCGCGCGTAACATTCGCAATCGCACTTGGTACTTGCTCATCGACATGCACGGCGGAGAAGGGTCGGCTATCTCCTCTGTACCAGCTGATTCGACATCGTACTCGCATCGCAAAACCGTGTTTAAGATGCAGTTTAACGACCGCATCTGGCCGGATAGCGCGACGTACAAGCCGGAGATGATGAGCTTTCTGAATGGCTGGGTTGAGGCGATCGAGAAGGCTAGTGAAGGGGAGAAGTTTGGCATGTACATCAATTACGCTGATACAAATCTCACAAACACCGAGGCGCATTCGCGGTACTGGGGCGAGCATTATGAGAGGTTGGCGGGGATCAAGGGGGCTTATGATCCGAACAAGGTATTCGAGGGTCCGCAATTGGTGGGAAGTTAGAAGCTAGCTGTTAGATGTGTGACGATAAATGGAAACAAAGTGGATCTGCTTGCTCGAGAAGAAGTCTATAGGGCCTACAAATACACGTTCACGCACCTAGCTCTGGCGTTTACAAGAACTCGATGCCAACACCAAAGCTCAATCCTTTCCTGCCTTCCTCCTTGGCCCTCATGACTAATGGGAGAGAAAAATTAATTTCGAACCTCGCAACGGGGTGTGCGTAGACGAGTCCTAGACCGGCTGCACAGCTGGGGAGTTCGGAAGTGAGGCTAGAGAAGGACTTTTGGATGGCGCCTGTTACATCGCTTGAGCTGCTGAAAGATCCGTCCTCCTTCTTGGAGTTGGGGTTCTTGAGGGCAAGGAGGCGGCCACCGTTGATGAAGGCTTGGAGACGGAGAGGTGTCTCCTTGCCGACGCGTGGGATGGGGAGGAGGAGCGACGCGCCACCAGCAGCGTAGATGTCACCACCGAGCGCATCGGCACCGTCACGAGGGCCGAGGCCAGCGATGCGGAAACCGCGTACGTTGTTGGGACCACCGAGCTGGAAGCGGTCGTTGATGCGCGAAGCCTGGGGTTGGCTTCCTCCGCCCAGTGTCATGGGGTACAGGAGACCACCTCGCAGACCAGCGGTAAGCGTGATGCCTGTGTCGCCAAAGGGGAGGGAGACTTGCGACTCTGCCTCTGATTTCCAGAATGCTGTGTCGCCCTTCAATGGGCCCCAACCTGCGAGTTCGGACACAGTCTTGAAGAAGTAGCCGCTGTTCGGGAGAAGAGGGTAGTCGCGCTTGTCATTGATCCAGGTATGCGAGATGCTGGACTTGAAAGTGTCACCAGCGTCTGCGCGGACAGAGGGCGATGCGTTCTCAGCCAGACTGGTCACCTGTCGCCAGATGCCAGAGTAACCGAACTCATGCGTGGCGCCATTCTTCATCCTCCATAGCAGCTTGGAGTTGCCACCCTTGAGAACTTCCTCATGGCTTGCCCAGCTCTTCAGCGTTGAACTCGCGAAGCCGTTGACCTGGAACTTGAGGTTGGGGTTGCTGAGAATGGGACTGTCGAAGGCAAGCGAATAGGCTGATCGTGTTCGCGTACCGAGCGATCCGTGTGCGTTCAGCGTCTCTGCTCCACCAAGCAGATTCCGAAGTTCGGCGTGGACATAGGCATCGGCTTCAGAGGCTCCAGCTTCGGTTCCAGTCTTGATGGTGTAGTTGCCGCGCTCGACGGCCGAAATGTAGACATCGACATCGGTAGGGGAAGAAGAGGCGATGGTCTGGTTCGGGCGGTCGAGATAGACTGATATTGGCGACTTGAAGATACCTAGTCGGCGTTAGCCAAATGCGAGCGAGCCCCTCCTCAGTCGCGTGTCAACGTACCAAAACGGTTGAGCTTTTCGGTAGCTTCTCCAACTTCCTTTATCGCATCTTCGAGCGTGTATGGCTCTTCCCGGTTTGCGCTCAAGAGGGGGTTGACGACTCGCTCGAGGAAGCTTCTTCGTGTGCGGTTGGCGTGGAGGATGCGAACCGACGATATCGTCACGGGCAGGGAGGAGTTGTCTTCAATCTAGCACAGGCTTAGCAGCAGGCCCAATTGCACACATGGGATGCATACCAGCTCTCCGAGGCGCTCCTGCGACCTCTGCTGCTGTGCGTACAGCCGCGCATTGAGCTCGTCCTGTTGACGCTTCTGCTCCTTCAGATCCGTCTTGTTCTTGAGCCTTTCGAAGACCTTGTGGGCCAATTAGCGATGCATCACCCCCAGGACGCAACAAAACTGCTTACATCGTCTTCATGCGGCGACGCCATTGGGCTGTTGGTGTCTTCGTGCGTGATGCTTGGCGTGGCTCAGAAACCTTGAACTCGGAATCGTCGCGGGCGGCGGATGCACGTGCGCTGCTCTCCAACTGCGGTTCCGACCTGGGTGCGATACAAACTCCCTTTCACCCAAATTCGTTTTCACCTATTGCGCCTGCCTTTGTTGTCGTTTTGTTTTTCACAGACTGAGGGGTAGATTCAAATATTCCCTCGACACTCCCTGCGCTCTTACCTGGCCGCCAACTCACAGCGCATCCGATAGTCGACGTCAACTATCTCCGCCCGAGAACACGTCTACCTACCATCACCTCTTCTTACCCACACACAACCACACAACATGGCGACACCGGCAGCCACCAAGCGCCTCACAAGGGAGTACGCTTCCATCTCCAAATCACCGCCACCCTACATTACTGCGCACCCTTCGGATAGGAACATCCTCGAATGGCACTACATCATCACCGGCCCGCCAGACACGCCCTACCATGGCGGCCAGTACTGGGGCACCCTCAACTTCCCGCCCGACTACCCCTTTGCCCCGCCCGCCATCCGCATGCACACTCCATCTGGCCGTTTCCAGCCCAGCAGCCGACTGTGTCTGAGTATATCCGACTTCCATCCCAAGAGCTTCAACCCCGCCTGGGAGGTCAGCACGATTCTGACAGGCCTGCTGAGTTTCATGACGAGCGACGAGATCACAACTGGCAGCGTCCGCGCATCAGAGGCAGAGCGGAAACTCTTCGCCCAGCGCACCCGATGGTGGAACAGCACAGGCGGCGGCAGCAAGGCGACTGGCTCGGATAACGCTGGTGGCCGCCAGAGCGGCAACATCCGGGCTGGAGATGGCGGCGCAAAGTTCAGGCATGAATGGCCAGATGTCGACGAGGAGAACCTCAAGTGGATGAAGGACAACCGTATCGACCCCCTCACCGGTCTGCCGCGACCTGCATCTACCCCCTCACAGCAGCCCGCCTGCTCACCAGACGTCTCCGGACTGCGACGACGCCCCGGAACAAGCGCGACCGTCGTCCAAGATGCGGCGCAGATAGCACGAGACGCACAACAAGGATGGTTGAGTCGCAATAAGTGGAGGGTCGTTCTCGGAGCTGTCATGCTCTATATTCTAGTCGCGAGGGTACTAGGCGACGGTGCAATCGCAACTTCTACTTAGATGGAAGGGTTGAGGCATGCATAAGGATGCTAGGGTAGTGTGCATCAGTGGGAGACACAAGTCACGATTCATTCAAACAGGCATTTACTATGGCGTTGGCGGGCGCTCGGCATACCCAACTTTCAGTCGAGCACTCTGTATGATTATTAGTAGTAGCAAATCAAACACAATACGTGGATGCTGCATCCCTCATTTGCTCTCCTTTGATTCGTCCTTCGACTCATAAGTCGCGCTGCCTCTGGTAAGGGGCGTTGTCTCTTGGTCCATCCTAGACTATATTCAACCCAAGATATGGTACCGACTATTCCTATAGTACCCATCAACTTAAGCGTACTTGATCACCATAAATTAAGCCTTGAGGCTTCGCCACAAGTGAAGTGGACCCACGGTAAAACTAGGCTAAGTACGGTATCCAGCGATGACGCAGTGGAGATCCCCACAATTGACTTTCAGCCACCCGCCTCCGACTCTGAACCCAGACAACGTGCCTGGTCCCAGCATGGACAAACCGTATTGTTTGCTCTTACTTGAGATATAGGAGGGCACCGTGGCTCGAATAACTATCCCTCGTACGACTTGACTGACCAGGCAGTTGGAGAACGGTTGTGAGCTGTGTATCCTAAGTTTCACGTTATCCTAGTCCTGTCCGTCCGACGGTCGACAACTGATCATCGACCTGTATGCAGGGGTGACATGGGCGATCGGCAGGGTCGGGCGCGCAATTGGGTGGCTGAACGTGTTTTAGAACGAAGTAGCAGGCACGTTAGGCTACTCTTACGCGTGATGCTTAATCGCATGGCCTATTATGATGGCATTCTTGGTGGGACTTGGATCATCGTTGTGCGCACCGGTCCCAACATCGTAGGTATGCAGGGCTTCGTTGCAGGTATATAGTAGGCTGGGCGGGACGCTGTTGGATTTTGTTTCGAAACCTATCGTTCACGCCCTTGACTTTGTCGTCTGTTGTTGTCGTGCCTTCTTTGTTCTGCTTTCCCAAAGATCCGTCTATTCACCCAGCTGAACTCACATCCAAACGTCGAAGATGCGATTCTCATCTCTCGTTTCTTTCGCGATCGCAGGCGCATCTGTATGCACAGCGCTGCCTACAAATCTCACCAACTTCCTGCTCGTCACTACATCACAAATAGACCCAAGTGCGAACACTTCTGAACTCAAAGCCGTCTCCGCCACTTCGCTATTCGTAAGCCCTTATGCGAAACCCATGAACCATAGCATCTTTTTATCTAACAACCATCCAGGACCCATTCCACCAACCCGCCCTCCTTCTCCGCCTAACAGGCCCCGGTTATGGCTCCCTCCCCAACTTTACCCTGGCAGACGGGACACTATCCACCATCGCCCTAGCACCCTTCAGCACCACCGAGTACAAACAGTTCAACAGTACCGTCGTGACGAGTGGATCGGAGCTACAGTTCCTTGCTTCAGTGCAGCCAGCGGGCAATATTGCCCTGGACGAAGGATACCTTCTGACCGTGGATGGCCAAAGAGAGGGTTGGACGATTTGCGAAGGTGACTTGGATCAGGAGGTGTTGAGCTGGAGGGGCAATGCGACTGATTGTACCAAGACGTATGTGCATGCTGTATTAAAAGCACCCTATTAGACCTGGTTGTATTCTGGGAAAAGAGGTCCTAATTCCAGCCGGATAACAAGAGACATCGCGTCATATATCAGTCCCTGATTGCTCCTCTGAACGTTTCAATCCGCCTTGGCCATCTTGCTGAAGTCTTGCTGCCAGTCTTGCTCTTTGGTAGTGTGTTTTCTGATCATAATGCGACGATGTGATTCTCATCCTGTGCCGTTGAGGAACTTGCGCCACCAAACTGTCTCAGCGTCGAGGAACCATGGACTTGCAGCCGCTATAAATTCTTCTGGTGATAGCCCCGCTTCCGGACCCAAGTGTGCTAAAGCCATGACAAAGACGTCGCAAGTTGTGAGACTTGTCCGAGCAAATACGTAGTTGGTGATGTGATGCGGCATGATGGTTCCAGGGCTCCTACGCCCAGGGTGTGTTCGGCTTGAAAAGTACGTTGCTGTGTTGGTATCGACAACGGAAAATGAGGCGAAGAAAACCGGAACGATGCCAAGGGAAAGATACTTGGTGATGTACTAGACAATACGTCCCTCATGGGTCATTATATTCGTATGATATGTCAAAATGACATCTGCGACGAAGCTTTTGCCTTCTCTTTCTTCAATCTTTGCAGACCTATGTACGGTGTGATTCACCGCCCATGCACGTTTCCACCGAAGGATCCTGGTTACGGCGATACCAGCTGAGAACCCCACGTCTACTTCCTAATATAGAAGTGCGCGATGCAGACTTGTTGTTTGCCTCTCCGGACCACCAACAGGCTGGAATTTTGGACGCAGGATGGTTGCAGTGTGCCGGTGTAGACAACCAGTGATACAAAATGTTGTGGCGATTGGTGAGACTAGCACGAGCTGCGGTCCGTTATGCAAGTGCTGACAGATTTGCGCGGCTTGCCACAGTAAGCCCAAGAAGACGACGGAAAAGGTGGCGGTTCAGTGTCGGATGTGCGGTCTGATGCTCACAGGGGAATTGCTGTTATCGTGAAGATGATGCGCAGTACATACTCATGAGTACTTGGAGATATATATCATCTTGTCATGTATATAGCGAGGGCAGCTGCACGCGTCAGCAGGTCCGCCCACGCGGTCTCATGCACGAGTATCACTTCAGCATCTCCACCAGCCCGGTGGTCAAGGCCCAACTGGGAAGATAACGATAAAATTTGGGTGCGGTGCGACCCGAGGACATCGCGTTCCAAGATGATGTTGGTCTGTGATGGAGCTATAAGTATGCAATGCTGTGATGCGCGTTGCGATTGGGAGGTGGTGGGCGGTAGTGCGGTGCTACTGGTTCGCTTGCAGTCAACGCGCAGCGAATGAGAGACCAAAAGCTCAAGGTTGGCAGCTGAGAGGTGGTCTAGTTGCTTTTTCGAGAGATGAGCGTGGAGACAGTAGAAGGCGAATATGCAAACTCAAGGGATGTATTCGGAGCAAGATTCTGGATTTGTAAAACCGACGACGCGGAAGCATAAGTAACCGAAGAAGGCGGAAGTTGGAGGATGCTATCAGGATACCGAGAACTGACCAAAGGGGTAGACAGACAGCCCAGATTCGTGTGGAGATTTCGCATGTGACGTACCAATAGACAGCTATAACAGCGCAGCGTGGATGTTCCTGACTTGGTCTGTATCGCGTGTCCTATGGATCTGGAGTCTTTCCGATGAGCAGCGCCGGGAACAAAATATCTTCTTTGTGACATGAATGGTTCGCATCAGTCGTAGGATGAATAAAACAACCTACTTTTTTGTGCTTGGAGGCCCGTTGAGCCCAAGAACAGCTGAATGATATATGCCTATGCCGAATCGGGCGAGGTTTTGCGAGATATCCCATTGGATATGACGCATCACCAGCCCATGCCGTCCCATCTTCAAATTATAATAAGAGCTTGCGCTCGGGTTTCCAGTGTGAAGTTATGTTTCTTGTCAGTGAACGTTGGCCGTATGCTGTGCTATCCGCGGTTGTGATCCACTTTCCGAGTCTCCCGAACAGACAACCGAAGTCCAGTTTGTCTTCTTCTCCTCTCTTCACCAAGACCCGGACCTCTCAGCTACTGGCAAATGCATTCGCAACCAACGTTAGGATAACCGGTGAAGGTGAGCTTATCATCGCACTGCGCCAATGTACTAAACAGTAGCACAGGTTGTGCAGTTCGTAGCAAACCTCTACAACCCAACTAAGACATCAGTGAACCGTCGACCCCCAGTTGCACTCCGCGAGCTGTGTATACGATTCGCCTAGTCATCTCTGGCTCCGTGACTCCCCGACTCTTACTCGCCTTATAGGGTCTTGCAGCGTGGGCTGAGAAATGAAAAGCTTTTTAGAACCAAACAGTACAAATCGCGACTCTATCTGGCTGAACCGGCAGCCTGTCAGATCTAAGGAAGAGTAGTAACATTGGGAGAACGCCCGGACATATACAAGAGGTGCTAAGATCTCACCGACGCAAACTGCTTCCGAAAAAAGCATGCTCGTACGGCGATGGCGTGTCGTACGTCTTGCAACAGCTGAGACGTAAGGAAACCAGATTCTGCATGCCGGATCTCACCACCTTGTATAGAAAATGCCGCTCTCTGGACACCGCTTTCGGTCTCGGTCTCGCAGGTTGAAGTCGTTCATGATCATCTGCGCGATGATCTTGGGGACACTTAGGAACCCTGGAGATGCAGGTAAACCTCCATCAATCCTTACCGAACCCCGCATCCTGGAACACAAGCTCTCTGAAGTCGATGTTGGTGTCGCCACCACCTACCAATGGAACCGAGATGCCACGCACGCCTGTCAGCGACTTGCATTCGTGGCTCGTATGCGGAAGACCATGTCGGCTGCATCGCTGGAAGCAGTACTCGATGCGCTCTGTTCCTGTGGATAATCGCTACCGAAATAAGCCTCAGCCATCCTGCATGCTCTTGTCAGTATGCTAGCTGTTGTTGGCTGTTCTAGTGCGGAACAAAGCCAGCCGAGGGTTGGGGTTGCAACGGGTTGGCGCTGCCGCTGCACACTTGGCGCCTCCCGCCCCCTAGGTCGATCGCGACCCTTCATCCTCTCTTACCATCTCATCTAGAAGATTTCAGCATACTAAACGCGTTTTGTCGTCAAGGTTATTGTCAAAACTGTAAGAAACAAACACACAGATAGCTCAGCAAGTATTTTGGACACTCGACGATGATTTGGCTATCACGTCTTCAGGATGCTACTTTCACTTGGGTCATGAAATGATCATGCAATGCCGCGCCTCCGCCCAGACTTGGAGCCCAGCGCAGGATGCGCGCTTCGGACTATCTTTACATTTGATGTCCATGGCAATCACGAAAACCGCGTGGGGCGCGTGTAGTTTCGAGCCTCTGGACATAGCCTAACCGAAGACATGGCTCTGGGAGTGGTTCGATGTCGGAGCTCATGGTCTGCGAAATTTTCCAATCCCCAACATGGTAAGTGACAACAAAATTGGCGATACCGAATCTCGTGTCCCTGTTTCTGCGCCCGCGGCGTGGTTAACCTATCAGAGCGGGTTTTGTTTCACAACATGACTGTCCATCACTCCTTCGAAGCTTCGCTGGTGCAACCCTACGAGACCGGAGTACACGGTGCCATTGTGCTGGACAGCAATGCCGTCTCGATATCTATTCCTATTGGACGCCGTTATGCACACCACCCTGGGGGCCGGCCAACCAAGCACCACCCCAGGATATCTTACCGGTTTCCTGTAGGATCTGCACACGCCCTGAACAACGCTCGTTTGCGGGGTCACAATGCTCTCACATGCAGAGAACCCGGCCTGTCGTCGCTAAGGCTACCAGCGGGCGGCAGAGAGCGCAACAGTGAATATCAAAACCTAGTCATCTTGCACAGACTACACTCGATCAGGATCACGCGCCCGTTTATGCTCTTGGAATTATAAAACCAACACCCTGTCTCCTCTTGATTCTCCTCTTCTCTAATCTGACCCATAACTTTGTCAATCCATACTGGTCACGACCACTTGGCAAGATGAAGGTTAGTTTGCAAGCTCTGATGGCTTCTAAGTACGCCCGCTAATAATACCTCTACAGTTTCCACAGATCTACAACGTCTACGCCATTTGCGGCTTTGCCGCCCTTGGTGGTATCCTCTTTGGTTTCGACATCTCGTCGATGTCGGGCGCATTGGGTACCCCAGCTTACAAGAACTACTTCGGTAACCCCAGCGGTACTCGCCAAGGTGGTATTACGGCGTCGATGCCAGCGGGTTCTCTTGTCGGTGCCCTGTCCTCGTCCTTCCTTGCCGATCGCCTGTCGCGTAGGAACGCTGTTCAGATCGCCGCGCTCATCTGGATTGTTGGCGCTATCTTCCAGGCCGCCGCCAACGGCGTCGCTCTTCTCTGTGTCGGCCGTGCTGTTGGCGGTTACGCTATTGGTATCTGCTCGGCCATCGTTCCTGTCTACCAAGCAGAAATCGCTCCCAAGGAGATTCGAGGACGTGTGGTCTCACTGCAACAATGGGTACGTAGATACTCAAGACGTCTATAAGATGTACACTAACTCCGTATAGGCCATCACTTGGGGTATCCTGATCCAATACTTCATCCAGTACGGCTGCTCTTTCGTCGATGGTGGAGTCAACAACCCCAACCAGAGCACTTCGGCTTTCAGGATCCCATGGGGCGTTCAGGCTGTTCCTGGTGCTATCCTCTTCGTCGGCTTCTTCTTCTTTCCTCGATCTCCTCGATGGCTCGCTTCCAAGGACCGGTGGGAGGAGGCCCTCCAAGTTCTCGCCAACCTCCACGGTGACGGTAACGTCAACCACCCCAAGGTCCTCGCTGAATACAAGGAAATTGAAGAGGCCCTCGCCTTCGAGCGTGAAGTTGCCGAGACTAGCTTCGCTGCCCTGGTTAAGCCCCGCATCGTCAAGCGTGTCGTCCTCGGCATGTCCATCCAAATGTGGTCTCAACTTTGCGGCATGAACATCATGATGTAGGTTAGCCCTTTGCACCAACTATTCATGCAGTACGTACTGACAAACTCGAAGGTACTACATCGTCTTCATCATGCGTGGAGCTGGTATCGCCGACGAACTTCTCACCGCCTCGATCCAGTACATCATCAACGTCGCCATGACCCTGCCAGCTATCCTCTACCTCGACAAGTTTGGTCGTCGCCCAGCTTTGCTCTGTGGATCGTTCATGATGGCTGTCTGGCTCTACACCACCGGTGCCCTACAAGCTTCTTACGGCAACCCTAACCCAGACACTACTGACCGTGATATCTCATGGGTTGTTCCCCGCGAGCACAGCGCCGTCTCCAAGGGCATTGTAGCTTGCTCATACCTCTTCGTCGCCACATTCGCAACTACCTGGGGTCCCACTTCATGGACTTACCCGTCTGAGATCTTCCCAGCCAAGGTTCGTGCGAAGGCTGTCTCCCTCGCTACTGCTGCCAACTGGACCTGGAACTGCATTCTCGCTTTCGCTGTTCCTCCTCTTCTATGGTCCATCAACTGGAAGATGTACATGATCTTCGGTACCTTCAACGCCGTTGCCTTCATTCACATGTTCCTGACCGCTCCGGAGACCAAGGGCAAGACTCTTGAGGAAATGGACGACGTCTTCGACTCTGGTCTCCCTGCCTGGAAGGCGGGCAAGGTTGAGTCTCGTCTTGACCGTGTTACTCGCGATATTGAAGCCGGTAATATGAAGGTTGCCCGTCACGGTGTCGAGGACGTCAATGTCGAGCCTAAGGTCTAGGCTTCAAGCGGCTGTGTCTAGACACGAGTCGTGTGTGACGACGACGACTGGTGTTTTTGCTGCTCTGATCTAGATTTCTGGAACTAGATGGGCATTTCGCGTATATGAAGGGTTTGTGCGCATTCACACAACTACTGATGGTTGACGACGTGGTCTATGAATGCGCTTGAGCGACTTTACATCTTACACGGACAGCCACGTAGCGTAGTCCACTAATACATTCACTGATATACTCATCTCCGCAGTTGTGTTTGCTTGTTTGCAGCTACTCTCGTCGCGCAACCATACAATTGTTCCAGATGTTGTACGGGTGTTGGAGTGTATGAAGACACTATCACGAGGATGTCGATGCATTTCCTCCGCGCAGCTAAGGGAGAGTGGACGTTTACGTGTTGTACAATTGTATTCAAGAACTAAAAGAGTGTAGTAGTGCCTGCGTAGGCTGCTAATATACAAGATAAAGTCTTGTAACTAAGAATTGCATGCTGAGTGTTGATGATCGTTGTGTCCTGTAGGAGTCTAAGTGATGAACTCTGCCCTAGCAACTGCTTCTAAAATACTAAGGATATACTCCCCAGTATTGACTAAGCACCCGTTGCACCGGCACAATGTTAGTGTTAGGGCTATTACGCCATTACCATGGCGTTGTTGACAAGACTGAGAGAGGCAAGAGCTCGCACGGTCGCTCTCTCACTTAGGTTTCCGCGAACCCTCAAAATCGCTACTCACGCATAGCAACCTTTCCCGCAAAGGCATACTCACTTCTCCACTAGCGCCTTACCTTGACGATCGCTTGTAGCATTGCTGACCTGCTACACTCTAAGACACTATCCGCAAGCACATGCAGTTGTGAAGCGCAACTTTGCTACGTAATGTGTAGGTGACTCGTTCACTCTAATTGATAAGATGCGTACTAACTGAGAAGCTCTAGCCTACGGAAACCGCGTAATGGCGAGAATCAAGCACCGGGAAACTCTGATGTCACTGTGAGGCGCCCTCAAAAAATCGACGTCGACCCACTAATGGTACACAACATCCAAGGACCTGGTATGGAAGTCGTCGATAGCCATGGAGTGCATACAAAGAACTGGGTCATCCCTAAAGCCCTTCTAAGCCATCACTCTGGGTTCTTTCGAGCTGCCTGCAATGGACCGTTCAAAGAAGGAATCGAGAACAAGATCACGCTACATGACTGTCGGCCAGAAGTCTTCGAAGCCTTTGTGTATTGGCTATATTTCGCGACCTTACCAGATGATAAGCCGGAGTGGGATTACATACACGGTAGCTTTTGTCTTTGGATACTTGGCGATCGACTCCTAGTCGCGGACTTCAAGAACGCCGCTATGCGGGATCTCTACGACGTACATGTAGCCTCGGAACTACCTGTCGAGCCCCAGGAAATTGAGTACATCTGGAAACACACTGCCGATAAGTCTACACTTCGTCGTTGGGTACTAGACTATGTATCTTTGAACTGGAAGGAGCACTGCAAATGGTATGCACAGTCGACACGGACATGGTTATTCAGGGATACCCCGAACTTCGGAAACAGTCTGCTGCACCGTCTTGGTGCTGAGAATGCAAAGTTGGACCTGGAGAATTACTTGGAAGAGACTGAGAAGACAGCCTACGACGAGCCAGATGCGAAAAGGCAGTGAGAAGCCATAATATAGCTGGAAATATCTTACGTAGTTCATGACGGATATTAGAGCTCATAAAAACATGCGCCTTCGAAGCAAGTACTTACATGCGTGTTTATGCTAGCTTGACTTTTGTTCTTCTTCCACCTTCAGGATGCGTTCGAAGTAAAGGTATCTCTCACCTTCACCAGCCGCGTACTAGCCTGTCTTAGCTGGGTAGCTTGTAACAAACTTACCATTTGCATGAACTCCTTTGACGAGCACGAATCTTGTTATCTCTCATCAACTCAACAACCCACGATTTTCCAAGATGAGTAGCAGTACGCAGCAGCAACTTGCGCCACCGCCAGCAGCGCACGGCACGGCTCAGCCACCATCAGTATCTCACTCCGACATGTTCTTGAACATGTAATTATGTCACCTTCTACCTCAAGTGACTTGTCTAATTCTAGGATCTAGGATACAGGGCAAATCAGTCACGATAATCGTGGGCCAACACTCTTTGTACTGCACCTATACCCTGCCCGTCGCCCTACTATGCGTTCACTCTTTCTATCTCGGTAAAGAAATTGCGGGATTAACCACGGCTAGCAAAAAGCGCAAATTTTCTCCTCTCAGAGAGGGCGAGGAGGTCGAAGCAAAGGTTGTGGTAGAGGCTAAGGACAAGAACAAAGATGAGAAGCATACTGGAGAAAAGAGTATAAAAGAGGACAACGAGGAGCGAGTTATCAGGCTAACAGACGTGGATCCTGCAATCTTCGGTCTCTTCCTAAAGTTCATTTACAAGGACTCATACCCACCGAATGTCGACGCAAGAACACCGACGACCCACTACCATCATCGCTCGTTGACAGCTATCCCAAAATCGACCACTCTAGGCTCAGAAACTGCTACAGTACTCCGTCAACCGTCTTCGAATATTTTACCTGCCAACAGCAATGAACATATCCAGGCCGCTCCTCCACTAAGCCACATGTCTACTTTCATGCCACCGCCTCCATCCCCACAAGACATGAAACAAATCGAGTTCATCCCTCCCTCTGTACATGCATGGCTCCTCGGGCAACGTCTCGGCGCTCTTCCCTTCATGAACCACGCTATATCCCGAATCTATGCAGGCATTGGAGTCTACTTTGCTCTCACGCCCTCACTCATGGACTATGTTTGGAAGGAAACCTCACCATCACCGAAGATCACCTCTTCATCATCAAATTCGCCATCCGGATCAACTCCATCAGCTACGGCAAAGACTGTCCTTACCCCTTCTCCTCTCCGCAAACTCCTCCTAGACATCCTTATAACGCATTGGTCACGCCACCACCCCTCGAACCCCAACGCCGTTGTCGCCCGGTCTTTATCAGTATCACCAAACTTTTCAGCGCCGCTGAAGGTCGCTTGGGATAGGCTTTTCGATGAGCATACTGATCTGAGGAATGAATTTATCTATGGACTTCAGGGCGGTGTGCAGTTGATGCCTGCCAACGCCTATTTTGCAACACCACTACCGACTGGGCAGAGCGGTATGGTCAAGGGTGGAGCGGCGACTAGTGAGTTTAGGAAGGAGCATGGTCGAGGCAGCGGACGAGCGGAGAAAGAAGTGGTTATCAAGGAGGAGAAGAAAGGTGAGATGGATGTTCTGGCAGATAAGAAAGAGGGCGGCGGCTGAGATGGCCTGACATTCCACATCGGCATGTCCTCTCTGGAAGCCTTGGGAATATCTGAGGGTCTAAAATCGGGGTTGAATGTGTGGGAAAGCCTGACGCCGCAAGAATATTATAATCTCGAATCGGAAAAGGCTGGCGCAACAATAGAGAAAATTTACTTCGTCATATGTGAAGTGCGCTGATCGTCAAGTATTTACATCGTGAAGTCATTACTACTACACATTTCATGATGGTATTACAGCACCGAAACTCTCATGGACAAATCCTTACCCCTCGAACTCTAGTAGGCACTGCGGCACGATAACCGTCACTGAGTCCAAGCATCACCAACACGTTCCTGCCACTCGTGCTCCATATCCTCCGCACACTGCCAGCAAACCCCCATACGACAAACAGCAATGTCGCATTCCCAAAGCTCTTCTTTGACGTCATCATCACACCGGTCGCAGAAAACAGGGACAGAAACATGCTGTTTGGTGCCAACAGCGGTGTGCAGGTAAGGTCGGACTTCTAAGCTGTTGATGGCGACCTCGTCAGGAACAGTCTTGAGATTGATAGGGTGGAAGATATGGCCATTCGTGAGACAGTAGTGCTCTCTTGATGACAGCCTGGGTGGGTGTGGTAGTGGTGGATGTGAGGGGGGATGTGGGGGTGTAGAGCAATCGTCTTTAGGGAATGGAGCGGGCGGAATCTGTTGATCAGCGAGAACATCAGGATCGATACGTTCAGAGACCGGGCGTTGTTTCGTGTGATCGTAGATGGACATCCAATCTTGGACGAGCAGACGTGAATCATCACGTGGCATCTTTGGTTTCTTGTCCTTGTCGAGGCGGTTGTAGTCTCTAGTGGGAAGCTGACTGAGTATGGCTGTTGGCTGGATTCTGTTAGTTATGTTGATGACTGAGAGGATATACTTACGCACATCCACATGCTTGCTGCGCTCGTTGAAAGGACTGATCCTCTCGTCATGTTGGAAGAAAAAAGCGCCAGCCGGCTTGAAAGGCGGCTTCATCTGGGTAGATAAAGCTAGCATAGGTAGTGGCGCGGCTAGTGCGATCGGAGCAGGTGGAGCAAGTGGCCTCTTTTTCTTGGGGGCAATGTCGACGAGCTTGACCATATCGGGAGTGATCCGCGTGAAAGTCATGACCTCTTCGTCCAGATTGATACTGCTGGAGATTGAGATCGAGTCTTCGTCCTCGCTATCGGCGCCATCAAAGTCCTCACGTTCTTTCGAGGCAATGTTTTGCTTTGCGGTTGCGAACTCCATCTTCATGGTTTCGTTCAATACCATGAGAGCAGCATAATTGGTGTCAAGCATGAGTCTTGTCGCGTCGTTTTCGTTTTGCCTTGCCCTGACAATCGCTAGTTGAGCCTCTGCCTCGTCGAGCAAACGATCTTCGACCGTCTGTAATGGGCTTCGGAAGCGGAATTCAGTGGCTTGCTGATCTCCAACATGATTGACATCAACCTCATCTCCAGGATGGACGGCAGATTGCGCCTCTCCGTCTCCATCGCCCTCTTCCACGTCTTGGTCTGTTGGCGAGAGATCGTCCACTTCCAGCTCGTACATGGCGTCAGATGTGAGCAACGGCTCAGTATACAACTGAGGCAGTGGGGGCTTGGATGAAGGAGAGAATTTTTCGCACTCAGAGATAACACCTAGCTCAGGACACTGTTCGTTCACATGGTAATATGAGCGTAGCTCATCGTGAGACGTCTCCGTGATGGGTGCCATTTTGTCAAGCGATTTGGGAATTCTCTTGAGCATACGCGGTCTTGGAGTCTCGGGAGCCAGGCGCGCAGCTGGATGAAGCAAACGAGAATGAGCATGAAGTTCAGAGTCGCTACTGTAGTATGCATCAGTATCATCCTCTGTACGCCGTACTAGAGAAGCAGCTGCAGCGCGCTCCATATCGGCTTCACGTTTGGAACTAGTTGCGGCAGATGGGAGTAAGCCTAGCATTTGCTGCGCTTTCCTGTTGCTGTTCGCCCAAAATTTCTTGGCTTTAGACAGATCAGGTTCAATGCTTTCCTCATTGAGCTTTGCCTGTCTACTCAACAGGCCCTTTGAAGAGGCAGGTACCGGCGCGGATACTTTCCTAGTCGATTTAGGCAATACTGGTGGACCATCGTAACCACCATCTTGCTGTGAACGACGGCCTTCGGAATTGCTCCGAGCCCTACCAGGACCAGCGTCAACGCCTAGTAGTTTTGCGGCTTTCACAGGGGTAAGTGGCGGTAGAGGCGACGCTTGATGAGCAGTCTCATATGAGCTTGCGGGACAGTCCTGATCCTTTGGCTTGAAGCCGAATTTGCCATGCTTCTTCTTCCCCTCTGTCGCCGTTGTTGAAACGCTCTCTATCGTGGGCGTAGGCGATTGAGCGATTGGCATACTCGAAAGGTCATCGGATGGACGCGAGATAGGAGAGCGACGGCGGAGTCCTGGTGGGCCACTGTTCGGCGCGAAGTGGTTGACCATGGGATTTGAGGGCTCGGAAGAAGATAAAACACGCGGGTGTTCTACATGCTCAGTATCCAGTCCTGTGGTGACACCATTCGCATTCTCCATCGCGGCTTGTGAGTCAAAGCCGAGGTCAGGCGTAGTGTTGGAGCGCATCGCGTTGGAACGGCGCGTGCTGCGGCGTCTCCGACCGCCAACCACCATAGCAGGGCCCATGTTCCACGTGGCCCCGGGCGGAGAGTTGACCATATCAGTATACCTGACCATTTTCCTGAACGAGGCTCTTTGACGTGGGGGGTGGGGTCTAGTGATTGACGGTTGTACCGGTTCGAGATTCGAGTATGACGAGGCAATCAGGCCAGAACAAAGCCAGCGACTTAGAGCGAAGTTGAAGTGTAGCAGTGATCAGCGCATTACAATATTGCAATCGGATTGTGGTCATAAAATGTGAGGATTCGCCCGAGTATTGGACAAAGCGCCAAGCTTGGTCTGTTGTGGTCGAGTCACCAACAAACGGAGTGCTTGGCCACGCGAGAGCGGCAGTGAATGAGGAAGGCGCGGCATAAAGATGACGTCGGTGAGAGAACAACGTGGGACTAACAGGTGAATGTGGGGATGAGGAAACCAGATGGCCTCCACAATGTCTATTATGGATAATGTGAAATCTGCGCGAGGGAGATGTAAGTGTACAATGAAGGAAAGAACGACCTCAGGGAAGACGAATATAAAGGGAACATAATTAAACGGAACTATTAGAAAAAGAAGACCCATACTCCTGCAAATCACGGAATGAGATCTTGGGTATCTTTGTGGACGCAACCGTGCTACGATCCATGCCACCGTCCGTGTGGCATCCGCCTCTGTGCACTGATCTCAACCCCAACGTCACGTAACACCCACTGCACCCGAGACCGAAAACGCTTGAGTGGCCTCCATGGGATGTTGAGAAATGAGCGAGTAAAAAACTACAAACCAGTACTGCGTGTTGAAAGATTCGGCATATCAACGTCTCTTTCTCGATTTTCTGGCTTTGCGGTCTGCCATCGCTCGCCTTAAGAATTGGCGGGCTCCATACTATGAGCCTGTTGATTCCCCCTTACTCTTCGGGCTGCTGAGGATAGCAACCTGTTCAGCGACACCGCTTCCGCTCTTGGCCCTGCCACTCTCTGGCGATGCTGGGATATCGATCGAACTTCTCAACCCTACTCCACTGATCCTGCCTACAGGTGTCTCGGTCGGACTGGATACTACTGTCGCATCATCCAAAACTTTCGGTGCCTCATCAACAGGCTCTATTGAGTCCGGTTCGCGGGTCAGTTTCGCTGGCTTTTTGCTTGGGCTTGCGCCAAGGCCCCGGTGAACTTCAACTGAATGGGATCCATGGAGAAAATCAGAGATGTCTGCCTCGCTTGTACCCTTGCCATCAGGCGTCTTCGGTACAGGTCCGGGACTTCGCGGGCTTCTAGGCATGTTGGGTTGGAAGAATTTCTGCACGGCGTTTCGGTCATCTACTTCATCATCTTCGTCGCTGGTCTCATTGAAGTAGATACTGTCCCAATCGCCAGACCCTATACTACGAGTCGAGTCGGTTGTGTTCGATCGCTTGGGTATCCTGAGACTGGGCGGCTTGAGTGGCGCTAGTTCGTCAGCCACTTCCCTCATCTCGCTATCGGTACGCTCGATAGGTGGCTGCAGCCTCTCCTGCCCCTTGACATGCTCGCCATCTTCATTGATCGGTTTGTTGACAGCTTGTGCACGATCAAGGGCAGGTTCTTCTTCATCCCGTGTGTTGGCTGAATAAGTATCCGCGAAGTGAGTATCGCAGAGGTGCTTTACCACAGGCCAACCATACGCGTTAGCAAACATGCGGCGTACAATCATGTTATTGTGCGCGTCCGGCTCAAGACTGACAAGAACTTTACGCCACGAAAGGTCCTTGTGATAAGCGCGAGCAATCTTCTCCTCCACGCGCATCACACTTTCGTCGACGGCAGTTGTTGACGCCTGAGAGGAGGCGCTAGCACCGGAGAAGTTGCGTGTCGGTTTTTTGGTTGGCGGCGGCGGGATGTCTTCAGGGTGGTAGATCCTGTCATGGAAAATGGTGCGTGCTCGGGTGGATGGGTCGGTAATCCAGGACATTGGAGGGACAGGGGGGTTGATCAAATCACCAGCGGATTCAAAAATCGTAGTTTTGGGTGGTGCTAGATGGCTTTTGGGGTTGTCAACGATGGAGTCACCACGGGTTGCTTGGGGTCGCTTCCTTGGCTGTGTGGTATGTGATGACGTCGAGCTCTCGGCTTCAGCCGGGGCCTGCTCGTCCTCTTCGTCCTTGTAAATGGTCTGACTACGACTAAACATCTTCTTGTCGCGAGAAGTGTGCTTTCCGGTTGGTCTTATATAGCTCCATAGTTGCATCAATGTATTTTGCGGCTGGAAGTATTGATCATTTGGCTCCTTTGCCTCTGGACTCTTCTTTTGCCCTTCGATGAACTGATGAGCTGCTGGCTCAGTGGAAGATGCCTGTGCTTCGTCGTCTTGATT